CTTTGTTTTTTGAGAAACATTTAAAAGGGTCATTATAATAATGAAATACAACCTTAATGCCGAATTCCCCATAAGTTTTATCCAAAAACATATAAAGTTCCTCAACATAAGGTAAAGATATAACTTTCTCGATATCAAAAGTGGTAGTCTTATGAACGTGCGAAAAATCAGAATTCAAGTCAGTAATCTTTTTAAATCTAGCATTAATATGTTTTCTCAGGAACCAGTTCATTGACAATTAATAAACATCTATGACAATAAAATTATTGTATGTTTATATTGCAGCAGTTAAAATTTGTCTGAAATATGACAAAGCATTTTTTTATTTTTTCTATTCTTTCTGTTTATTTTATAAATAAAATAAAATTCTCTCTTATTTTAAATTTAATAAGTTAATTAAAAAGAAAGTAATTTATTTATTAAATTATATAATACTAAATAAATTTAAATTTTAGATAAAAAATTTTTAATTTAAGATAAATGAAAATTAACACAATAAAATTAAATAAAAAGGAAATTCATTACAAAATATAAATCTAGTTATATTTTCATCAAACTTACATTTTTGACTTATACATAACAATTCTTTATCTTACATTTTATATATATTCTCAAATATTTAAGAAAACGGAAACATTTTGTTTTAAATTTCGGTTTTACACTTCCATTTACATTTTTTTAATACTAAGAATTAAAGTAAACTTTCAATATGTTTACGTAGTAATACTGTAAGTTATCACGAATTATAAAATGTATATATTATATACTAATTACAATCACAAACTTTTATAATTATTATAATTTTCTTTTCGTATTTTATTAATTTTAGAAACCTTTATATCTTTTAAATCATCGTAAGTTTTAAAACTTTCTAGTTTTACAATTTTTTATCACATATATTTTCTGCGGCTTTGAATGTTCAATAAGATATCGCCTTATATTTAGGTTTTAGAAGCATACATTTGCCTAAATTTTTAACATAACTAAAATAAAATCAGTCTGTTAGTTTGTTTACGTAGCTATACTGCATAGTTCATCACGAATTACAAAAAGTTTATATTCTATTTTTTATGAACTTTTAAAATTAAAACCAACTTTTAGTTATATAAAAATGTCCGTCTCGCATTTTATTAACGTAAGAAACCTCCACATTCTTTAAATTATCCAATTTTAAAACTTCCCACTGGTACAATTCTTTATCATATATTTTATACGCTCTTAAATGTTCATTAAAATAACAATCGGGTATAGATTTCACTACGAGGAAAAACTCTTTTTCGTTTTTTAGTATTATTAAATAAACGCTACAAAATTCTTCACCTAACTCAGAAAAGGAAATTATAATACTATCTTTTTTAATTGTCATTCCATTATACTCGACCCAATTAGTTGTAGAAATATTCGATTCATTAATAACATTAAGTATTAATTTAGAATAATTTGAAATATCTGGTAATTGTTCTATTGACATCAAACGAGTACTACCAGAAACATATACTGGATAGACATGTTTTCGTAAAAAACGATAATTTAAATTCAATTGGTGTCTCAAAGCTATCGTTCTGCACACGTTAATTCGACAAATAGAGGATTTTGCAGTCGTTTTACCTTCTCTGTGTTTTCCCTCGAATCTCATACACGTAATATTCCACAGAGGACCAATCTGTTTCATCACCGTCGAATAATGTATTAAGAAATGGTGTTTAGGTTTTAAACAGAGAGGAAATTGATCAACCAACAGTTTCAAATATTCGGAAATTTTGCAATCTAGTATTATTGGAGGGTAAGACACCGTCAAAAAATTACAATTTGCATGGGGTCTTCGGATTATTCTGTAATTTGGTGAAGTTGTTATATTTGATAACAAAAATAAGTGTACCAAAGGATTTTTAAAAATTTTCAAAATTGTAAAAGTTACGCCATTTTGAATTTTTTTATAAGATTTTTTTCAAATGTGAATATTTCCGAAACAATTTAACGGATTTTAATAAAATTTAAATATGTTAAAGTTAAAATCATTTCCTTTCAGAATTTTTCAAAAGAAAAAAAATTTTTTTGTTTTTTTCAAAAAAAAGTAAGAAAAAATTTTTTGAATCGATTTATTAAGCAGGGGACCGATTTTTGAGTATTTTTCTATATATAATAAAATATTCCTTAGATTTCACCTTTCATTTACAAAAAAGAAAACGATGGAGACTTTAATAGTTTTCAAAATATTGCAATTTTTGTGGAAGCGCGACCACGTTTCAGTGCCAGCGCAGTATCTTTTACTCGGGACGCCTCACAGTGGGATTTTTTACACTTTACTCTTCAAAATTGTCTAGAGCCTGCAAATTTTATTGGATTTTGATGTTCTTGGTCCTAAATGAAAGAGGATAAAATTTCAAAGAGATCTCTTTAAACCGATTTTTGAATTTTTAATTGTTTATTTATCTTTTGTTACTCAAAGTTAACAATTTAAAATATTTTTGTATAAAATACTGTTTATTTTTTATTTTTCCATTGCACAAGATCGAAATCAATTTAAATTAGTCTAGTCTGACCACCTGACAAATAATAATGCATAATACAGTTTATTTAAATTGTTAAAAAAACAATTTAAATTAACAAATAGATAACTTTGGTCTTTTTTTTAAAAAATTGATTTTTTTGTAGACAAATTTATGTTTATTTAAGTAATGCAAAAGAAAATAGATTATTGATGGTTATATAATTATTAATAACAATGATAATTGTTAACTTTCAAATCATTTTCTTTCAAAATAGACATACATTACTTAAATAAACATAAATTTGTCTACAAAAAAAAACAATTTTTAAAAATAGACCAAACTTATCTATTTGTTAATTTAAATTGTTTTTTTAACAATTTAAATAAACTGTATTATGCATTATTATTTGTCAGGTGGTCAGACTAGACTAATTTAAATTGATTTCGATCTTGTGCAATGGAAAAATAAAAAATAAACAGTATTTTATACAAAAATATTTTAAATTGTTAACTTCGAGTAACAAAAAAATAAATAAACAATTAAAAATTCAAAAATCGGTTTAAAGAGATCTCTTAGAAATTTTATCCTCTTTCATTTAAGACCAAGAACATCAAAATCCAATAAAATTTGCAGGCTCTAGACAATTTTGAAGAGTAAAGTGTAAAAAATCCCACTGTGAGGCGTCCCGAGTAAAAGATACTGCGCTGGCACTGAAACGTGGTCGCGCTTCCACAAAAATTGCAATATCTCGAAAACTATTAAAGTCTCCATCGTTTTCTTTTTTGTAAATGAAAGGTGAAATTATAAGGAATATTTTACTATATATCGAAAAATACTCAAAAATCGGTCCTGTGCTTAATAAATCGATTCAAAAAATTTTTTTTTACTTTTTTTTTGAAAAAAACAAAATTTTTTTTTCTTTTAAAAAATTCTGAAAGGACATGATTTTAACTATAACATATTTAAATTTTATTAAAATCCGTTAAATTGTTTCGGAAATATTCACATTTGAAAAAATCTTATAAAAAAATTCAAAATGGCGTAACTTTTACAATTTTGAAAATTTTTAAAAATCCTTTGGTACACTTATTTTTGTTATCAAATATAACAACTTCACCAAATTACAGAATAATCCGAAGACTCCATGCAAATTGTAATTTTTCGGTCGGAGTCTTACCCTGGAGTATCTCTTGTGACTTTTTTACTAAAAATTATTTCAGAAATTTCTTTCAAGGACAGTAACAATTGCCAATGCTGATCATTTTCATCTACATAGCATCCGATCATAAGATTAAAATTTTTAATCAAATTTTGCATTTCTGCTGCAGACAAAATAATACATTTATTTTTTAAATGAGATTCTAAAATTTCTGGTGGTTTATTTACACTTTTTTTTGGACCATAATAAAAGCTACGTATTAAATTGTTTAATAACTCAAGAGAAAAATATTTACGTTTATAAATAAAATGGTTTAAAATTAAAGCTAAATCATATCGGCAAATTCCCTCTAAGAAGTCGTGCATAACGTCAACTGCTGGATTTTGGGTAACATGAAACCATGGTATTCGATTAAATATGCAGAATTCTTTAATACCAGAAGACTTAATTTGATTTTTTTCTCCAAAAGATGAAATATATATAATTTTGAATGTCTCTGAGAATGCAATCTTTCTCACTGAAAACTTTATTAATATCCTTGTAGTTTGTTAAACAGAATCTACAAAATTTTGTTCCTATAAAGCTTTCAATAAATCCGAATATAGAATAAAGCCCAAGATTGTCGCCAACTATTAAAGCTAATTCGAAAAATACTTTTATTTCTCCCTCAGACAATTTCAAACAAATTCCCTCCTCCTGCAAAAATTTTAAATCCCTAATTACTTTTTCAAAAATAATGTGATTTTTAAAAGTTGAACGGTCTAATGTATTAAATAAGATAAACATAAAGATATTTTCTAATTTTGATTGGTAATTTGGTGGTAGACATGGCAAACTAATATATACTCGCGAGTAGTACTTGAAATAAATTGGAAAGATATCGTTTTTTAAATAACATTTTTAGTCAACTCGCACAACTCAGCTTGATATTACACCTTGTTAATATTTTAATAGAAAAGTTTTATCTTAACAAGAGTAATGAATGATAGACGAATTTCTTCAGGTGTGAATTTGGTAACGTTATTAACCTCACATTTTTTTCTCTTACCAAAATTTCCTGAACTTATGAAGCAGGTAAAATACTACAGCATCCTTTTTTTCTGCAAATTTCTGTTATTTAGTAAATTTGCATAGCTTTTCTTAAAAAATTTATAAGTTATAAGATTTTTCTAACAGTGTTTTGGTCACATTGATTCAATAAATAAAACAATTCATTATATTTTAAACAATAAAATTAAAAATTATTCGCATTCTGTACTATAAAACTAAAAAGTAACGTTTCATTGAGCATCAGTAGAGTTCACAAAATGAAAATGTAGCAAATTGAAACACTTTTTTATCTTTCTCACCTTCTGCTAATTTCTCCAATCCTTTTATAAGGAGTCTATCCTTTAAAGTAAGTTTCGAACGATTGCTCGCAGATTTCGCCTCCAATTGATTCAATTGTGAAATGATGACACTTCTTAAAACTGGCCATCTGATTTTTAACAAATCTTTCTTTTCTGGAAAACGATATTCAAAGTCCAGCTCGAACTGTGATAAAATAAAATTCAAAAATTGATTAATTAATAACATAATTGACCGACTATACAACACAACATTTTGATAAATTAAATACATACCATCTGCTTTGCATCGTCTGTTTTTAAAATGGGATACTTATTCAAATAATCCAAAAATTGAAATTTTTTCAACACTGAGTTTAATATTTCGAAAATTGAATGTTATCTTCCAATCTGCAACTAAACTAGCTGAGTTTATGGCATTGGTTAGATTGTTTACCGCAATTTCTACGACGAGTTTATCTGCAAAAATAAAACGTTATAAATTTATTGCACAATTTTTTGTGCATAATTTAAATAAAATAACATTTAGTCAAGTATTGATTAAAATGAATATTTATCTTTTGATTAAAGTAATGTTTTACCGTTTGAAGATTCTACTACTTGAGGTTTCTTTTCAAAGAATAACTTGGAAGTTTTAAAGCTTTGTTCCTTTTTAAAATATCAATAGTGTAATTATAATTAGACCATAGAGTACCGGTAGTTTGAACTACGCAACCATTTTCATTTTTGTACGGGCTATAATAAGTGCAAGCAGATTCTCCCGAAAAAATTTTTTCTATCAGTTTTGATAAAATAAGAAAAATCGGTCGAGAAATACTAAAAAAAATATTGTGAGGTAAAGCAATTTTTTTAGTATACTACTTTTAGGGTGTCCAACGAACAAGGAAGTCAGGGGATTTAAACAAAACTAAGGGACCTATTTTTAATATGTACTTTAATGTACTGAAATTATTATAATAACAAGATACGGTCAAAATAAGATAAAATTGATATCAAGAATAAATAAAATGTCTCTAATTATCATGAAAATACTTTACACCGAAAAAAATGCCTAGGACCCGTATACCAGGAATTGACTAGGTTTCCTAGTTACGAGAGGAGCCAACTATAGAATCCTAGTCAAAGTAATAAAATTCAAGCATAGTTAAAGTGACCAGGAAAATTAGTCGATGTAATCAGGAAAAAATAGTCAAATTGACTAGGAGAATAATATTAGATTTACACTGTGTATCATAATTATTTGAAATTGCTAATCAAATTCTTATTTTCAAATAAAAGAGAAAAACCAATTAAAAGAAAAAAGAAAAAAATTAATTATTTTATTAAACATATTTATATTTTATTTTGCATTTATATACCTTATTGGAATTAATTTAAACTTATGAAATAAATATTTGACGCAGGCGGGACGCAAGCACCTGAACCTAACGAATACGCACTTTGAAACCCGGAACGATAACTACTACACTAAACACGACTTGGTATTTTAATTTTTTAATAGACACTAGATTTTCGAGTCAAAATACAATACTTAATCAGATGATGTTTTACACATTTCAAGTACACAATTTTATACACTTGTCAAAAACTATTTATTTTTAATTATTTATGACATTCAAATGAAAATAAATTTAAATACACAAATTATTGCAAAGGTAAATTTTCAAACACACTGCGCGATTAAAATAGTAAAAATGTTGTCACCCACGTGCGTAAAAATTTCGACGATTTATATTGAAACCTAACCAAAAAAGTCTGAAAGAATTGACTAATATAATTAAATAGTTTACTTTCTAAAACATGGACTATCTATATTTCCAGAGGTTCCGAGAAACCAGCAATTTTGATGTATGTAAGAACTCCATTTTATGTACAAAAAATAGACGCGAGTAATGATAAAAAATCGTTTTACGAAATCACAATTAATGACGCGAAAGATATAGAGGTAAACACTGTCAGAACAGAAGCAGACGCGTGCGCATTATGGAAATAGCCAAAATTACTAAAATCCTAGTCAATTTGACTAGGATTTGCAGGGTTGTTTTTGCCAGGCTTGAATTTGTTGAATCAACCTAGCGATTCTAACCATAATGATTAGGAATCCTTATTACTTTTACTAGATTAAGATTAACTATAGGGTCATAGTTAATAATACCATTGAGATTTTTTTCGGTGTAATATTAAAACACCTTTCTTTTAGTTTGCAATATTTTTTATAAAACAGAAAAGAGGTCAGAGAAAATTCACAAAATTTTTTTCTTCGATTCCGTTGGACACTCTGATTTTTTATTCACCATATTTTAAAATATGTATAATTTATTTATTTTGTGTACAATAAATTTAGTTTTTCAATATTTTCAACTTACTTAAATTTCTCGATTGGTCCACCTTCGTTAAAATCTTTCAAGGCTTCGTCTCGAAATCTGCCAATGATGCAGCGAGTTAGTAAAGCGCGACTAGATTTGGGACGCATGATTATTCCCCAAATGTCATTATTCCGAAATGTCATTTTACCGAACTGCACTTTTGAGAACAGTCATTTTTGCGAAAAGCCATTTTTGCAAAATGTCATTTTTACGAATAGTAATTTTTGCGAAAAGACATTTTTACGAATAGTAATTTTTGCGAAAAGTCATTTTTACGAATTTTCATTTTTGCGAATTGTCATTTTTGCGAATCGAAATTTTTACGAATTGTCTTTTTTGCGAATCGACATTTTTACGAATCGCCATTTTTACGAATTGTCACTTTTGCGAATGGACATTTTTACGAATTGTCATTTTTGCGAATAGCCATTTTTGCAAAAAGTCATTTTTACGAATTGTCGTTTTAGCGAATTGTCATTTTTGCGAATTGTCACTTTTGCGAATCGCCATTTTTATGAATTGGCACTTTTCCGAAAAGTCATTTTTGCGAATTGTCATTTTTGCGAAAAATACAATAGTAAACTTGTAGGTATATATAGATTCACTATTGTATTTTTCGCAAAAATGACAATTCGCAAAAATGACTTTTCGGAAAAGTGACAATTCGTAAAAATGTCGATTCGCAAAAGTGACAATTCGCATAAATGACATTTCTCAAAAATGAAATTTCGCAAAAATGACAATTCGCAAAAATAGCTTTTCGCAAAAATTACTATTCGCAAAAATGACTATTCGTAAAAATGACAATTCTTAAAAATGGCGATTCGTAAAAATGTCGATTCGCAAAAGTGACAATTCGTAAAAATGGCGATTCGCAAAAATGAAAATCCGTAAAAATGACTTTTCGCAAAAATTACTATTGGCAAAAATGGCTTTTCGCAAAAATGACTATTCGTAAAAATGACATTTCACAAAAATCGCTTTTCGCAAAAATGACTATTCGCAAAAGTGCAGTTCGGTAAAATGACATTTCGGAAAAATGACATTTGGGGAATAATCATGCGTCCCACTAGATTTATCCAACGACTTATGTTCACTATAATGTGCAAACACTAATTTCGCTGTGGGATCTTGCTTCAATAAAGTTAAAATTTTCTAAAATGCATAAAAAACTTTCTTGATAAACTGACAAAATTTGTGCATCCAAATTGTCTGGCAGTTCATGTACGTCTATAATTTTTATTTCTGACGGGTCTATATTAGCAAAAAAGTCTTTCTGAAAAATTAAAAAAACTTAATTAAAAATTTAACTTATCAAGAAACGAAAATAAAATTTAAGTTTAGAAAACTATCAATAATTTCTTAAAGCAACAATAAAAAAATATTACAGTTTTTAAAAATAAAAATTGCACAAATTTCTTTATTGTAAAAAAAATATTAGAAGACAAATATATATTTTTATAAAACGAAAACTGAAAAAATAACAACCTAAGCTAAAAGACGAAAAAAATTATAGAAAATAAAGAGAATTGTAAAAAGTAGAAATAAAATATGATGAGTAACGTTAAATACCACAAAGGCAATGAAAAATATTTAATTGAAGAGGAAATAAAAAATAGTATATGAAAAAAGTCATAATCTAAACAAATTTACCTCGTTCCACGCTCCAGTACCAGATTCTGGGGCGCATGCATTTTCACATTGAGTAATGACTTATTCGTGTTTTAATCTAAATAAAATTTAAATTAAAAAAAGAAAAACAAATTTTTAACCATTAACAGCTAGACAATTACAACTTTCAAATATAAACATCAGGTAAAATATATTTTTGAGAATAAAAGATTTTGGAAATAAAGGAAACTAAAATTCAACGTGCTTTATATTTCGCCAGAGAAGAAATTTATTATCATTTCCAGTAAGACTTATTTTGAAAACTTAACCTTTATTATGTTCTCAAAACAAGTCTGTTTTGATAAATTAAAATTGTATACAGAGGCAAAAACGGCAAAAACTAACGGAATTCGTCTCACAGCACAAAATTTGAACACACTTATGTACTATATTCTATTTTAAGAAATAATATAATGCACAATTAAGAAAAAAAATTTAAACCGCATATTAACATTTAAATTGCAAATTCAGGGTGGCCACTAAAAGTTAGAAAAAAAATTCCAGGCTAATTCCCGGTTTTCCAGGCTAATATATATTTTTTTCCCGGTTAGTTACACAGGCCTGCAAAATTAGTTTCTTATGTTGTTTTGTCTGCTAAACACGATCCCGGGTTCTAAAATTGCCCTTCATTTCAGGATATTGAGAAAAGTAAGGGTAAAGAGCCCAAAAAAGTTTTTTTTTAGGGTTTACAACATTTTTTTTCTTTAATCTGGCGTGCTAGAGATTTCGACAAGGTTTTAAATTAAAGCTTAAAACGTGAATTTTAAGAATCAATGCAAAACACAAAAAAAGCAAGGATTTTGGAAAAAGTAGGGTTACAGACTCCAAATAAATTTTTTTCGTTATTTTTGATATCGGAATTGTTTCTAATGTAGTTTTGTCCACTGAACAAGATCCTGGATCCTAAAATTGCCCATCACGTCAGGATTTTAAGAAAAGTGGGGTAAAGACTCCAAAAACGTTGCCATGGCAACCGTTGCTATGTTAATGGTTGCCATAACAACCGTTGCCGTGTCAACCGTTGATATGGTAATGGTTGCCATAAGAACCGTTGCTGTAACTGTTGATTTATAGTAATGGTTGCCATAAAAACCGTTGCCATGGCAACCGTTAATAAAAAAAATTTTCAATCTTAAGTACAAAAAAAATTTTTAAATAAATTATTAGTTATTTGTTTTTTGTCATTTTAGGCCACGAAACCCTATGATGTAGGCGCATTGTGCCTGCTTCTCTGACTGATTTTTTTCTCTTTAACCTGACGCGCTAGAAATCTGTACATATAGGGTAAACGCGCCAATTACTGCGATTTCTCCAATTACTGGGATTTTTGGGAAAATACTATTATTTACTATTATAGAATAATATAATATTTGAATAAGTTTGAAAAAATCATTTTCGACCTTAATTTCGACCTTAATAAAATTCTTTCGTAAAAAGTAATTGGTGTCCCTGAAGAGGGCCGTTTATTCACAATCATCCATTCTTTTAATGCCATACCCGACTATCAAGTTTTAGGAAAATTGGATCGATTTTCAAAAAAGTCGTCCGTTATATTGGGCACATTTTGAAGTTTGAAAATCTAACATTGGATTCGTAATTTTTGTCGTGGGTCTTGTACACGGAGAGAGATTCTTTTTTAATATTTCGTATTATTATATTAGTATTTAGTAAAACCGATTGCAATTTGGGGAAATCATGTACATTTATGAATTAATATTACCATTTTGAAGAAAGTTTATAATCAAATTATTACTTTGTATTATTCTGAAGTAATAGAAATTGAAATAGTCAATAAGAAATTTTAATATTATAAGTAAGAAAGTATGCAATAGTAAAAAGTATTACCAGATGATTATACTAAATACTATCGAAGAATTACATAAATTGTTAATTTAGTAATGAATAGTATTATGGACTATAATAAAAATTATGACCAGCCTACTTAGTAGCAGGTCATAGCAGGCTATGGGCTGACGTCAGGCTGACGTAGAGCGGTTACGAAGCTGTCCGAGATTAGCCGAATATTTCAGACGAGCAGTACCGAAATTATCCGAGTCAAACATCTCGTAGCAACATGTGCACGTTGTGTTTACCCCAAAACATTTTAATTTGATGTGTCAAAATGTGTCGGAATTGGGTGAACAATTTTATTTTGTTCATTCAATAATTTTAATCGACAATGAAGATTTCCTAATTGTAGTAAAATGCATAGTCCATTGTCTTTTAAATGAGCATTTGAGAGCTTTCAAAATTTACACGGAAAAAAATTAATCTCTAAAGTAGAGATTTAATATATGAGATTTAGGCATAAACTATCACTGGAATCGGATGTGTGATTTGAACAGATCTGTAAAACTGAAATTTAGAGTTATATCTAATCTGCATATTAGCAGTGTTAAGAATTCGCATTTTTATGCCTTAAAATGATATTATAAATCTCAAATTTTATGACATAGAACATATAGTTCTAAAATATCAACTTATTTCAATAAATTGAAATCTAATATATTATTAGAATAAACTATTAAAGATTTTAGTTGCATATTTATATAATTCGTATTTTTTGTGAGGCGCATGGAAAGTCTCCAATTTTTATTTTCCGAATCTTTATTTTATCGAAATTCTTTTTATCTAATAAGAATTAATTATAATTTCTTGTAATCAAAAGAATAATTGTCAAAAACATTATTTTTTTGAATGACTAATCAACAGAATGTTTAATACTGCGAAAGAAAATTTTTTATAATCTTCAAATAACTGAATTATCATTTCTAAAAATTATTAGTTTTTATATTTCCTATTTACACTAATATTTTTATTTTCGAAATCTCAATTTTGATAAATATTACTTTATAGATTTGTTAATAATTATAATAATTATATTCCCGAATTATTATTCAATATAATTCAAATATTACTGAATTACCAATTCTTAAAAAATTTATTGTTCCTAATAATATTTTTTTTTATAATGTGTAAATATTCTATATTTTAAAGTTTCTAAATTTTATTTTTTTGCAATATCATTTGTTATAAAACTTTTTTCTTATAAATGTTTTTCAAAATAATTTTAACTTTTTCGAATAAACATTACTCATAATTTTCTTTACTTCTAATCATCCTTCTGTGACAGTTTTCTAATTATTAAAAATTAAAGCAAAGAAAATATGACTAAACTCATCAACTTAAACATACAACAAAATCAAAGGGGAAATTCCGCTGAGATCGTGACCGCCGAATGCTTGGCGACGATTAGACTCATTCGATTAAACTCTTGTAAACTCACCTAAGAAATACCTTTTCCACAATTCCGGTTCCTCCGTAGAATGCTGGCAGAAGGGCCGATAATTAAAACAATACTCAATTCAGTTAAACACTTTATTAAACTCAAACAGACAACTAGCTCCACTGGTTAAGGACAGGTGCTAAGAGTCGCGACGATATTTCAAAAGTGACCGATTCGCA